CCCTGCTGACCAACTGGAAGCAAGTTGGATGCAGCCCATGTCTTTCCTCCCACCCACCCTGTAGCTCCATATCTGCCCAGACAGCTGACATTTCCAAAGCCCATCCATTCTCAAGGCTGTGGGCACATTGTCTTAAGCATCTTAAACGGAATTGCCAGCCTTGCCCAAAGCTTTTCCCCACCTTCATTTTTCCATTTTGAAGTAGTACATCCTTGCTTTCATTCTCTTAGATTCTTCAGAGACGTCTTTCTCAATTTGTTTACTTCTGCTTTATTTTTAAAAGACAAACCCCCAATGGACATAAGCTCTCAAGTCACTTCTGAAAACACTGTCTTGTCTGTAAGTGCTTTGTTTGTGATCCTTTCCAGTCCTTGAGGCTATTGTTTATGAGCTGGAAGGCATCTTCGCTTAGGCTAATCATGCCGAATGCCAGCAATTCCCCCAGCATGATTTGATGCGCAAGCCAGTGGGAGCATGGTTTGTTGTGATTACGTTTACTGCAGAAAGCCGGTGTTTGCTCACACCAACCTCACAAAATGAGGGGGTCTCATCCAAAACCTTCTGAGGCAAACAGCAATCTGGTCACTGATTTCAATGGCAGCTGGGAGCGGCCGGAAGGTCTGCAGCTCTGCCAGCAAGAGTGGCATTGCAGAGAAGGAGGTAGCCCAGGATCCACACCGATCTTCCTTTAGCTGTTTGCTCAGAGTGGGATGCAGATCTAGGAGGCTGCCACTGCTGTGTGGTGTTTTCTTCATCCTCATTGTGCAACATATTTGAAGCTCCTTTCCCACACAACCTGTGCAGTGGGCAGAGCTGTTCCAGCTATCACTTGGGTCTGAGGGTGTCCTCTGCTTCTGACCTTCCTACCCAGAGAATCGCAGAATCATACATTCACAGAACGGTGGGGTTGGAAGAGACCTCAGAGCCCACCCAGTCCCACCCCGTGCCGTGTGCAGGGCTGCCACCCCCCAGCTCAGGCTGCCCAGGGCCCCATCCAACCTGGTCTTGAACCTCCAGGGATGGGGCACCCACAGCTCTCTGGGCAGCCTGTGCACTGAGCAGAGTGCCTCTCTGCCCTCTGAGTAAAAACTCCCCTCCCAATATCTAACCTAAACCTCTCCTCTTTCAGTTTAAAGCAATTCCCCCTTGTCCTGTCACTATCAGACATCATGTGAACAAATACCTCCTTTTGTTTCACACTCACACTCGAGTATCTGATTGGCTGCTTCCTTCTTTTTTTGTTGTTGTTTTTTTTTTTGTTTGTTTGTTGTTTGGTTTTTTTTTTTTAAGAAAACACAACTCAGCCTCTTACTCCATATCACTTATGCTCTGCAGACCTCTGGCTCAGACCTCCCTGATGAGAAGTCCGAGCCAACAGCCAGCCGCTACGGGAGGCAGTTGGAAGTGCTCTGCTCTGCCTGCATCAAAATGGCAGTACTGCTGCCCCAGCGGAGATCACAGGAGCAGAGAGCACGCTGGGACCTGGCAGCTCTGCAGGGAGGCAGCTGAGGATGCTGCCGGTCTCCTTTGACACCTGCTCTCCCTTTGATGGCCGTCTGCCCTCTGCAGCCCTGCCTTTGTGCCAGGCAATGGCAGAAAGCTCCGCTGTGCACAGCAGTTTGCAAATGCCAAATGTCTGAGGGATTGCTGCAAAATGAACTCAGACAAAATAGTCAGATTCCCCTAACCAAGGTATCCTTGCAAATTGAGACTTTTAGCACATTTAAAGGTCAGTGTCTAAAGGAGGGCTATAAGAGACCAGGGGAGACACTTTAGCAGAGTCTGTTGTGATAGAACACAGAGAAATGGCTTCAAACTAAACAAGAGGAGGTTTACACTGGAAGAAGTGTTTTACCATCATGGGGGTAAGGCGCTGGCAAAGGCTGCCCAGAGAGTAGGTGGATCCCTGTCCCTGGAGACATCCAATATCAGGCTGGAGGGGCGCTGAGCACCCTGATCGAGCTGTGGGTGTCTCTGTTCATCATAGAGGGGTTGGACCACAGATGAACTTTAATGGTCTCTTCCAGCTCAAACTTTAATTCCATGATTCTATGATAATGATGGACATACATATTTTATGCAGGATGTCAGGGCAAGAGCCCTAACCAAGGCACTGCTGTGGGTATGCAGGAGGTTTTGTTCTGAAGCTTGCCTGCATAGGAGCACTCATTTCCAGACAGTGAATACGCTGAAATGTTAATGCATTTTTTGAAACGTGTTTGCACAAAACTTTTGTGTTTGGGTGAATTTTGATGCTCTGAGGCAGAGCCCTAATGCAATACAGACCCTTATGTCAGAGGTAATCAAGTGTTATTACAAGAGCTGCTGGCCGTGGGGCCCCTCCTGCGTGCACACAGGGGTACATATGGAAATCATTAACAAGTTTCAGCGGAGGATTTTGGGAAATTAACCCTTGCGACCCCAGAGCAGTGCTGGCAGGCAGCAGATGAGGAGCAGCTTCCCACTGAGACTGATCCAGCCCCGGGCAGCCTGGCAAAGAGGCCAGACCTCTCCATTCGGGCTGTGAGGACGAGTGGTTGAAGGAAACCATCTGCAGGGCTGTGTAAGCTTCCTCGGCGAACTGAAACGAGTCAGCTGGAGAAATGTGTAACATAGCGTATAAAAATGCAAACAATTTTCTTCTAGTCCCCAAACGGTGCTTGCGGGGTTGTGAGGAAGTTTGTAATTTCTTTATAAGCTCCTTTAGGAGCCACCAAACACAGCGCTTGGCTGTGGGCCACGATGTGCTGCTCTGTGTGGCTCAGGGGCAGGGTGGCTGCAGCCAGCATATCCCACCCACTGCTGGGAGCCCATGGATGTCACCAGCAGTCACTCCTCGGATGTAACCTCTTCTGATTTTACTCTGTGTGCCTTTTTTTGCATCCAGAGTATAAGGAAAAGGACTTCTGGCCCCCTCCGTAAAGCTGGCCACATCTGATGCATTTCTCACATTCTTGTTCTTCCCAAATTGATTTCTTTTCTTGCACCAATCCTGATCCAAGACGTGCCCTTTCCTCTGGGATAATGAGGGTAGGCATCATAATGTGCTTTAAACTTTCATAATGTAACAATACTTGGCAGTCATTCACTGCTTTTCACTCTCAGATCTCAAATCAATTTGCTACAGCCCTGCATGGAATTGACTTACTTGTAAGACACAGACAAGTACTTGCTGCGCAATTAAAAAAAAAAAAAGAACAAAATAAAGTAGATTTTATTAAAATCCAAACTACGTCTTCCTCCCTTGGTGTGATTTTCCTCAAGCACAGCCCTGGCCACAAACACGGCTGTTCCTCAGCCCTCGGCCGTGCAGCCCAAGATGCTCATTTCGGGCCAAATGAGAGCAGTTCATCACCAGGTCAGTGCGATCCAGTCAGAAAGCTCTTCCCTCAGTGAGTTATAACTGCTGCCATAAAACAGAAGCATTTCTGTGCTCGGCTGTAAATGGTAAAGAAATGAGCCAAACGCCTTCCCACCACCCCCAGTTTAGGAAGGGAGGGAGGGAAGGCAGCCAGCATGCCCCATATATGAAAGGAGTGAGGAGAAGGGCAGGAGACATGGCTTCAACCCCTGGGTGGGCAGAGGGAGGAGAACACACTCAGCTGACCCACCAGGACTTCCCCTGAAAGCCAGCGCATGCCCAAAGCCACCCGAGGGGCTGGCAGGGTGGGCACAGGAGTAACAAGAGTTAGTAACAAGCCAATCCAGTTGGGCCTTGAAGACTTCTAAGCATGGAGACTGCGCGCCTTTCTGGGCAACCTGTCCGCAAATGGATCCCCCCATCCTACCCAGCTTGGACTTGTTTCCATCCTTGTGTCTCCTTCTCCCACAAGGCAATGCTGTGGTGAGCATGACTCCTTGCTGAGCCCCTCACAGGTACAGGCAAGTTGCTCTGAGGTCCTCCAAAGCCTCCCCAGGCTGAACAAACACAGCTCCCTCAGCCTCTCCTCACCGGGGAAGTGCTGCAGCTCTTGGGGTCATACCTCTGAGCCAACTCCAATTGATGATATTTTTGTTGCAACAGAGACCCCAAACTAGATGTAATATTCTAAACGGGGTCTAATGAGCAGCCAGTACAGTGAGATAATCACTCCCTCACCCACAGCTGCAGTGCCACCGGGCTGCCCCATCCCTCCCTGGGGCTGGCAAGGGGATGGATCCCCCCACAGCACTAATTCAGCAGCCTTGGATCACAAGGCAGAGCCTCGGGAGGAGGGCAGGACCTCGCTGCCAGCAGCGCAGCAGAAGTCTCTCGAGATTAATTCAGCATCCAAAGAGCTCCTGCCATGAATAATGCGCCATATCTCTCTCTGCACTGGCTGCACACAGTGGTTCCTCAGATAAGACACCTAAAGCCAAGAGAGCAAATTCAGGGTCACGTCTCTCTGCAATTGGTATTTTTTCCTTGTGCAAGTCTGAAGGGGAAGGGCAGAGTGAGCACAGCAGTCTGCTCACACAATATGCTTGTGGAAGCCAGTTCCTCCCTGATCCCATTCAGGTGTCTTCTTTCACAATATCCAAACACACTGAACTGCTTCCATGTAGCTGCTTTTAGTTGTTTGTTTTTGTCAAGGATATCAAGCCCACCTGAACCCTAAAATGAATCAACAGTGCTAAGATTTTTCCTACCCCTATTTAATCCCTCTCTGTCCCACACTCTCTGCAGTTACAGCTCACTGATGCTGTGCCATGCTCTAGAATCTCAAAGCACCAGTCTTTCCTTCAAACACTCGGTTCAGGTCTGAAAACACTAAAAAAAAATACTTCTAAAAATTTCACCCCTACATTTTTAGGAATTATCTTACGTTCATTCAATTCTTATTTCATTGCACCGTAAGGTAAACTACACCTAATGGTCCCAGCTAGGACCCTTCCTTTATGCACTGCATCTGCTCTTCAAAAGAATTTCCCTTGTTCAGGTGCAGTTTGATTACCATGCCTCTGCACTACACTAATGGGGTTTCCAGCAATGCAACGGAATGAAAACACCACTGTATCTGTTGGCTTTTAAAAATAAGTATAAAAACATGTTTATTAAAATTTAGGAGTTGTATAAAAAATTCTTTGCCTCTTCTTGAGGCAAGACAAAACACCTTTTTGTAGCCCATAGGTGGCAGCAGCATACTATCAGATGAGGACAAGAGGCTCTGGACTGGGTCTGCTCACACCCTGCAGGGCAGAACCGACCTCAGACCTGCCTCTCAGGAGCACGATGCCCGTAGTATAAAGTAACTCATCTGCACTCCCAAAAACCTGTTCAAATAAAGCAATGCAGAAGCCACTCAAGCTGCACATACTGTACACGGCTGCAATGTTTTTTCCCCGAAAGTGCTGATCTCTGAAGGGGCAGATTTTGCATTTGTGCTCAGGCACAGACACGTGGTCTCCTGTTAACATGTGGCCTCCAGTTAGCTTGTGGCCCGTGCCCACCAATACCCAGGATGCAGCACTGTGGGGCCGTATGGCTTCACGAAGGCACACTGGCAGCATAAACTAGCTTAGGCACTTTGGGTAGTGGGGCTGACCTGGCAGGACAGGCAGCTAGCCCTGTTCTCAAGCTTATTAGTCATGAATGGAGCCAACAGCAGGACTTGGGGGTGGGAAGAGCTGTTCTTCAGGCTTGGCTTCACCCCAGCCATATGGGGGAAGGTCAGGCATGTTGTGCATGTTTGAAGACACAGCTTTTGCAGCCAGTGGGTGCAGGCACCCTGCCCCTCCAGCGTGGCCGTGTGCAACCCTTCGCCTCCACATACCCGGCATCATCTCCTAGTGCCAGCTGCAGAGGGGCTGGGGACCACTCTCCCATCCAGGGGTGACACCGCCGCCTCCCGTGGGCACGTCCGCATGGCAGCGGTGGGAGCGGGCAGGCGCCGCTGGCACAGTTCTCGCAGCGTGGGCACAGTCCGGCGGCTCCGGCACAAGGGCTCGGAAAAGACCAGAGGAGTTCCCCCCATCTCATCAAAGTGCAAGGGGTTGTTGCGGGTCCCCGCCACCACCAGCTCCAGCAGCCGGACCACGCAGTCCGAAAACCAGTTCTTCAGACGGAAATAACCCTCTTGGAAAGAGATGCGGAGGCTGACGGGCCCAGTCGGCATCCGCACGCTCAGGCTGAACAAGCAATTCCCCTGCGAGCTGTCCCGCACCAGGTAGGTGCCAACGGGCTCCCGCTGCAGCTTGGCGTGGGCCTCCCCAACAGACAGCGGGCCCCAGTAGAAGTCACTGGCCTGGAGGATGTTGAGGGATCGCTCCAGGACCTCCCACTCGCAACTGCGAAACATCCGGAAGCGATCGGGCAAGCCAGGCGGTGCGGGGCTGGGGAGAACGCTCCGATGCTGCCTTTGCAGACAAGCAACAGTGGTGCGTGTGTTTTGCAGATCATCTGGCCTCCCTCTGATCATCTCTCAAAGAGCCCATGGATCCCAGGGAGACGCTGCATTTACCATGCTTTCTCTGTCGCCTCCAGCCTGCAGGAAAGAAGCAGAGTGAGGCAAACCCCTACATCCTCGCACTGAGCAAGTGAGGACATTTCTCAGGGAGGAAAGCCGTGGTGTGCCACCATCCCACAGCTCTAGGTACACCAAGCAAATACAAGCAGGAGAGACTCCAGCTGGGCCACACCAGTGCAAGGGACCAGGTTACATTGCTGCATCCATTGCGTTCATACATCTCACATCTAGGGGCTTCTCAGCACATCCTTTAGGCTGGCTTGTATCTAGCAGATCTCATTATTTTGTGATTTCCCTCTTTTGGATGGCCAGGGGGTTTTCAGAGTGGCCTTGAGTCCGGCAAGAGGAAATGAGTTCCCAAGTGAGAAGAATTTCCCAAGCAGGAGGGTATCTTTCATTTTGGCATTCAGCAACCCCTCAATCAGAACAGACAGCAAAACCCACAAGCAACAACAGAATGGAACAAGCCCTTCCCACCAAAGCCCCATTCCCTTGTATCAGGATACTCCCAGATCCAATCTGCAAGAAATCCAGGTCCACACCTGTGTTCAGTTTTGAGCCCTTCACTACAAGATACTGAGGCCCCAGAGCATGTCCAGAGAATGGCAGTGGAGCTGTAAAGGGTCTGTAGCACAAGTCTGATGGGGAGCAGCTGAGGGGACTGGGGTTGCTCAGTCTGGAGAAGAGGAGGTTCAGGGGAGACCTCGCTCTCTACGGTGACCTGAAAGGAGGTGGTAGCAAAGGGGAAGTTGGCCTTCTCCTGGGAAACAGCGACAGAACAAGATGGGATGGCCTCAAATTGCACCAGGGGAGGTTCCAGTTGGACACTGGGAACAATTTCTCTTCGGAAGGAATAATGCTGTATTGGAACAGGCTGTCCAGGGATGTGGTTGAGTCACTGTCTCTGGGAGTATTCAAGAAAAGGACAGATGTCACACTGAGGGACGAGGTCTAGAGCATAGACATGGGCTTGTGGCTGGACTCAATGATTCTATTGGTCTTTCCAATCTAATAATTCTATGATTCTATGAAATGCATCACCATCAGCTTCAGAACTGCCACAAGTGAGAGCACTTGTGCTGACACCAGGCTCTGCTGATGCCCAAGGAGCATTTCTGCTCAGGACCATCCACTCTGCTTGTGCTGCAGGGATATCTCCCCGCTGCCTGCAGGTGCTGTTGCCCTCTCCCAGCCACCGTCCTCAGCTCCCATTGCTGCCTTTTCTCCATCACTGGAGACACTCAAGGCCAGGTTGGATGAGGACCAAGGCAGCCAGACCTGGTGGGTGGCAGCCCTGCCCACAGCAGGGGTTGGAGCTGGGTAGGATTTGAGGTCCCTTCCAGCCCACACCATTCTACAACTATGATTCTATGATTCAGGCAGGTGCCCTCCCTTGCTGTCTCAACCCTGCTCATCTCCTGTGCGTCATGTTGACACCAGATTGTCTGCTTTTGGAAAACAAAGTCCTGTATCCAGTGTTGCCATCAGCTATCCATCAGAGTCATTTCAATTATTAAAAAAATACGTTTTCTCTGTATGTGTGTGAGTATGTATATACATAAACATAGAAACCGCAGCCCCAAGCCAGAGGCTCGCTCTGTGTGAGAAGTGGAGCTGTCACATACCACTTCCCCAGGCCTGACAAGCCAGTTGCTCACCACCAACCCCTGCCCTCAGTCCCTTGACACACTCCATTAACCCAGACACAGTCGCTGGCAGCACAGCCATGCTCTGAGCAGGCCCAACGCTGTGGCCCAGCAGCCTGTGCCCCTTCCCCAGTGGGCCCCACTGTGGCCATGGGCTCACTAGGGAACACAGGGACCCAGAGGTGCCCAGCAGCACCTTGCCTGGGGTCACCTTTTCTCTCCTCATTCCTCTTGCAATGCTCAACAGTGGTATCAATAAGTCAGGCGCACCTCTATTACAGGGTCATACACTCTGGCCTCCATACACACTGTCCAAGCCTGGGAAGCCTCTTCAGTGGCACTCTGTTTTCTACCCTGTGATTTGCAGACCACAACATCCCTGGCACTGCTCTGAACACCGCTGATCCTGCTCTTGAGCCACGTGTTGCTGTGGGAGGGAAATTCCACTCTGAGAAAGGTGGGAGGGGGAGGAAGGTGTTAATCAAGCTGGGTTTTTTCTTTTCCATTAAAAAATAATAAAAAAAAAAAAAAAGCCAGCTAAAAGCTTGTCAGAGGGTTCAACCAGTCTGAATAAATCTTAGGGGAATCTGATTTGGTGAGCAGAACACAAGCAAGGCAACACATGCAGCCATTAGGGCAACCTGTCACCACCAAAGACTCAGCACTGCAGGCACCACAAGAAGATGCAGCATCTCTGTCCCTCTCCTTCTCCTCTCCGATGGCCGAGGAAGCTATAGAGCATTTTACATTAGTTAAGAAAAGGGGAAAAAAGGTAGCACTCCTGCTAAGAGCCTTCAGCTGTGATGGGACCAAGAAGGAGCCCCACTCCCACCAGCAGCCACTCTGCCCAAAGGGCAAGTTCTCTTGGGTCCAAACCAAAGCTTTAGGTCTAGATAGGACAATAAATCCCAACAGGAAAACAGAAGCAGGTGGATGTCTTTCATTTTCAGACTACTTTAAAAACAACAAATAAACACTTTATTTGTGTTTATTTGTTGTGAGGCTGGAACACCCTGATGTAACTGTAGGTGTCCCTGTTCACTGCAGGGGAGTTGGATCAGGTAGCCTTTAAGAGTCCCTTCTAACTCAAACGATTCTGTGATTGTATGACTTGTTTAAGGCTGCAGACACTGTTTGACAAAACAGGAAAACAACTGTTTGTCCTAGTTTTCAACCTTGAGTCACTCTCCCAACTCCTTTAAGAAAAATCCACTGCTACTAGAAGTCTGGCTGACTAAGAACCGAGACTGTGTCATCATTTCAAATTCAAAGTAAGTGCAAAAATAGCATCTTCATAGCGCACTGACTTGGTTTGAAATCTACACGTGGGTCATATCTTCAGACAGCATGAGTTTGTTTAGCTTCAGTGTCCCAACTCCACAGATGACTGGCTGGCAGGGTAGTGTTAGTTAGCCCACTACAAATACTTATTGGTATATCATTTTTAAGGTTCATCTGTTTTGCCATACCAAGATTTGTTTTCTTTCCTCACTGCCAAACAGCCCCCAAAATCCTCAACACCCAAGACCATCGCTGCCTCTGTACTATAAGAAGAGCACTTACATCCAAAGCAACATCTCCAAAACACCAGTGTCCCACTGGTTGAAAGGCTGGACAAGTTTCCCCAGGCCTTCTGATCTGCTGCAAGTTCAAGAGCTTTTCAAAACAAGTGCTCTTGACGAAGGGCATCCTGCCTTCCTCCTGACTCACTATCCAGGCAAGGCCATGCGTTTCATGTATGGAGATGGTGAAACAGGCAGCTGTGTGCAGCTGCTGTGTAAGCCAGCCCTAGGGCTGGATACAGCTGGCACACTCAATGGTGGCTTCAAGCACTTGGAGAGCACTCATTCCTGTGCTTTTCTTTCTTGAAGGGCTCACTTACCTCCTGAAATTTACTGTCCATAGGGAAGAGCTGCTAGATATCAGGCCTGCAACTGGTCCCAAGTCAGGAGCCTTGATGCAGCAATGCTGGGTTTTTGCAGAGCTTTCCCAGAGAGTGCATCCATCCTTTGGAAAGAAAGAGATGCCCATCAAACAGATGACTGAGCCCTTTAGCTGGCTGTAATATGGGTGTGAAATGCAACAAATCTGGAGATGGTTGCTATGCCTCAACCCTCCTCACCCTGTATGACCGTAGCAGGCTTTATACAGCACTTCAGATAGCAACAAACACATTATTGGTGTCATTATTGTTACTGCTGCTACCGAAGCCACAATGTGTTTAACTACCAGACAACTCACAGATGCCCTAAGGACAAATGCAAAGACCTTATCACTGTCATTGTCTTTAGGAAGCAGAACCCATAAAAACCAAATGTGAAGACATCATGGCAACAGGAAAAAACTTTAGGATTTGTAATAGCAAGCTCAAGCTTGCACTCAACAGAAGGCACAACAGTTAGAGCAACCCATCTGAAAGCATGCATCCAATCCCCATCGCAACCTCTGGTACAAGAAGGGTGCACGGGACCATCCCAATGTCAATCACAACTCCTCCAGCACAGTGTGGCCATGGGGAAACTGCAGCTCCTGCTATCTTTTATGCCATGACCATAAATCAGAGCCTGGTGCAAGAGTGACACTGTGTCTGACACGAAGGAATACACAACACTGGGTACAGGGCTCTGTTTTCCAAAAGCAGATAAAAAGAATGTGACACACACAAACTCACACCAAACCAAAACCATGTTTCCCTATACAGCCAGCATTCAAGCAGGATGCAATATGAAAAACTCTGTACGTTTGTTATCTCCTACAAGGCAGCACAACACTACACTAGCTGTGACATTTCCTGTTTCCACATATAGATGGAGTGCATGCAGAGCTTTGGAAACCCTTCTACAGATCTTTCAGAAGGACTGGTCTTATCAAACCCCTGTGATAATGTTGGGGTTGGAGAGCATACCCCAAAACCCACAAATAATTCCACCTCCCTGTGGATTTGTTGCTTTGGTTTTGTGTTTCTTATGCACTTTTCTATGACATTCCTTCTGCTTCAATGTGATGCTCTGCTGATACGGGCTGAAAGGTTCTTACGTGGAGAAAACCCATGGGATAGTTCGACGTGCTCCAAGTATTCCCCAGGGTAGGGCAGCCTGCATGCATGTCTGCTCAAAAAAATAAATGACAGTGGCAGTTCATAGGGAAAGCTAATTGCTTTTGCTCTCCTAACTGAAACAGCTGGAAGAAACGTGGCTTTCATGGTCCCTTCCTCACACCTCTGAAATACTCTGTGAACTCAGAACAACTCCTTCCAAACCAAACAGCCTTTTCCCAGCAGTCTCAGCCCCACATCAAAACATAACCCTGTCTTGCACCCAACCGGCTGACCCATGTGGGTCCAGGTTTGGGCTCTGAGGCTTTTCCCCCTCCACATCACTGGCAAAAAGAGAACACAAATATAAAAATTGTTAGGAAATCAGTGCACCTGGCTTCGAAGCTGCAGCTCAGGCTGTCCTGCTGGAGCTGAGAGACACAGATGTGCTGCTGCCCACCTCTGCCCAACAGGGCACTGGTTTGGGGAGGCTTCTTCCAATCATGCTGGGCTGAACTGACTGGTCTGGGCTGTTCTAGCACCCTGTCAGAAACATGAGTAAATGCTGAGACACGACAGCTGTCAGTGGTCCCCACAATGCCAGCTGCCTCTCGTCAAAACCATCACATTCAACAGGAAAGGAATTCAGGGAAGACACCAGGCCTTGGAAATGAACAGCATCCACAGGGAAAACTGGCTCAGCACCACAGGTTTGAGGGGGCAGGGGAGGGCTGCTCCCTTTGCTCTCAGGCCCCAGCAGATGCGAGGGACCCAAATCCATCCCTGTATTGTCGGTGGCAGGAATGAGGGGTGCAGAGCAGAGCCACACAGCAATGCAAATTTCCAACAAACAAAATAAAGAAACTAGTCCCAAGAGTCAGGAGTGGGCAAGAAAAGACTTGAGTCATGAGAAGCAATTAAAGAAAGCTTAAAGGGACAGATTGTGACGACCCCTGCAAGCAGTGCAAGGGACACTGCAAGCAGTGGCCACGGTCAGAGGCAATGTACAAAAATGCAGCAATGGCAGTGCCTGCCCAAACCTCTACAGCTTGCAAAGATGAAACGCTAGTGCTGGTGGAGCCGAATATAAAGGAATATGAATTAGTGTCGGTGGGGAACAAATTTCCATGAGGATGGCTGTCATGAAAGTGGGACAGCAGGTAGCCGAGATAAACAGAATGAAAACAAATGGTGTTTTCAGTTTGTCAAAACCAGAAAGCCTCTGGGGGAATCCATCCTTCAGCTCACCGGGATGCCACCAGCAAGGGGGTGAAGGAGCTGCTGAGGAGCTAAGCAAGCAAGCAGAGTTTTGGCTTTCTTCCTTCTGTGTGCAGTACTTAAAGCTATTTTACCTGCAGGGCTGCAGGGAGTGATCAGAAGAGATGTGGAAAACTGAAACAGTGGGAAGTCAGTGGGGTGCAGCGGACCATACTCAGGGTGGGAAGGTGATTGCAATGCCACCACCTGGCACACCTGAAATAGAAAGGCAGAATTGAGACAACGGGGATGGGCCTGAGGATGGATGGGCCTGAGGATGGATGGTAGGAAGCCACCTGCAAGCTTTCAGATGGAGCAGAGAGACGCAGGGGGTGCAGCAGGAACACCCCTGTAATCAGGCTGCTCTTTTTATGCTCTTTCATAAAATGAGAAGAGAGGAAGTTCAAAGGTAACCGAGATTGAAAAGTAAGTAATTCTAAAACTCATAAAAGGGAAAAACTCCAATCACACACATGTTAAAATGCTGCTGGGGAAAGTGAGAGAGCTGATCTGAGAGCACTCATTTCTCTTCTTTCTCAAACTTCTCTGCTCCATCACTGTGAAGCACCCACCCCTCCATGCTCCAGCAGAGGAATCCAGCAGCAAAGGGCTTGTTTTAACATTCATATTAAGCACTGCCTTTAGAAACTGCTCCAACTTTACACACAGCTAAAGGCGGCCCAGCCAAAGGCACAGACCTCCCTTAGCCCAAGTTTGCTCCCGAGAAAGTAAGGTAGCAGACATGCAGCATTGCTGAGCTGCAGAGCCACAGGGACTGTTACCCAAGTCAACGTTTTCCTTCAGCATTTGCAGGGGGTGCTCAGACAAAGGCAGCTGAGCGTTGCCAGCTCCATGTGGCTTTGCCTGCGATCTCAGGCAGTGCCAACGCTGAGCTCCCGCAGCCCCATCCTGTGCTTGAGCCCAGTACCAGCACAGCCCACCTTGGGCTCACACACATCTGTGAACACATAGCAGCACAGAGAGCATGAGGGGAGCAGGAAGGGAGAAGGCAGAGAGAATGTGCATTATCAAAATACCTTGAGAGCAGTTCTTGGAAATGAGCAGCCTGCAAGCGTGTATCAGACATTCATTTCCTGTGAAGTGCACACAGGCCTTTTCATTTCTCCACTGAAGAGGACGAAAATAAGGGGCAGCTCTAAGGGCTCCAAAGACAACACGGAAACCAGCATTTAGCCTTTTTACTAAAGCTGAGTCGATATTGCTGTACTATTAGCTAACTGCTGAGCCCAGCCTGAGATTCCCAGGGGCTAAAACATAGGGCATTCAACACCTCGCTTCTCCATCTTAACATGAAATCTTGCACTTGGTCATGGGGGAAATGAACTTCACCTGGCTCGTTCTGACTGCTCATTCCCTAATGCAAAGCCACCGAGTCCTGCTGCCCCAAGCACCACTGACCTGCTTGGGTAAAGGCACTGAGGCCAAGGCCAGCAAAACGCTCAGCTAATGAGTGCCTCAGTGGGGCTGGAGGCCGTGCAGGAACGCCAAGCAGAAGGCCAGACAGTGTCAGGAGGTAAGCTGGTATCATGCCTGTGTTCAGTTCCTGCTTCTCAGTACACACCAGCAGGAATGTAATTAAAGTAACAATTAGTTGCCTTCTTTGCAACAAACACACCATGCCTCCAACATCACACACACTTAACACCTCGCTTACAAAACCCACCGCCCCCTACAACCACGCACACTCCCATTGAACCACACCACGGGCTTTGAGGCATGGGCAGCCCCGTTCTGCATCAGCCTCTGATTGAGACCAATGGATGCCCTACGGGAACACCTTGCTGAATAGAAGAAAGAAGACTGAAACTCCAGCAGGGACAGAGAGGAGAAGCCAGGAAAGAAACCTCTCCAGTTTGTTTCTCAGCAACACAACCACAGCATTAGTGACAGCAGCAAGGAATCTACCATTGCACGGACTGCCCACCAGCTCCAGAGGCATTCCAGCTGGATTACAGACGGAGGTGCCAGCTGGTATTCAAAGCTGTCATCTGGAAACCTAACTCAGCCCTCTGCAAACAGAGGCCGGGGGGGCTGCCCCAGCCCACAGCACCCCTGTGCTCCCTTACACCCATAGGTATTTACCTGTGGCTCAGTGCAGCCTGGGCACGAGCATCATCTCAAGCACATGGCTGCAGTCTGCTGAAACTCCACAGGCTGTGCCATGGCTGCTTGGAGAATGAAACAGGGCTGCACGGCCCCACGAGGGCCCGCCCGGTCACCACCAAACGAAGCATCAGGAAGCTGCAGCTGCTTCTCATCCCACCCCGTTTTGCAGAATTAAGCACGGTCAGCATGTGGCTGGGTTTTGCATTGACATTCTCTGAGTGCAAACGCCGCTGCCGGGACCACACAGCCCCGACCTGGAGAGTTACAGGTAGAGCACAGCCTGCAGATGTGCTCTTTACCCCAAACTTCCCAAAACAATGGTCGAGCCGCATTCCCATCCTTCCCTCATACCAACGGACAAAAAAAAAAAAAAAAAGCCACAGATACAAATTCAACATTCTCGAGTTCCTCTCTGTTACCTTCAGGGTTCGTTCAGATCCCGTTTCCAAGCTTAAATTAAAGAAATAAAAAATAAAAATAATTTAAAAAAATAAAACAAAAAAACCGGAGTGTGGGGAGGGAGAAGTCCTAAGAGGAGCACAGGCTGAGCTTGCACAAGAACTCTCCGAAAGGGCACCCACCGCTGGGAAGAGGCGAAGAGCCGACCCTGCAGGAGCGCCGAGCGGGGCAGCACCAGCAGTACCGGCGGCGCGTGCGGAGGAGCGCAGGTGCGGGGCGGTCCGCCCGACCCCGCATCGCCGAGCCCTACGCGGAACGCGGTGCAGCGGCGGGCGAAGAAGCGCGGAGAGCCGCTAGTCCCGATCTCTGTCGGACCGCACGCCCCTCTCCCGGCCCCGACTGCCTCCGGGCTTCTTCGAGCCAGAAGAAAAAAGTCCCCTCTCTTCCCCTTCCCCGAGCCCCGCTTACTCTCCGCATCTCCCGGCGAAGGGTCGCGCTGCCGCCGGTGCGAGCGAGCGCTCAGCGCCGGGGCGACAGCCGCGCTGCCCGGCCCTCCCCCGCCGCTCTCCCGCCCCGAAGCGAAACCGAGGCGGCCCCGCGCCGCGCATCCCCCCGCCCTCACCCTCAACGCCGGCCCGAGGCCGAGGCTCGCCTTACCGGGCCGGGAGGTGCCCGGCGGGCGCTGCTCGGCCGCTGGGAGCGGCGGGGAGGGGGGAGGGAAAGGAGGAAACCCCCCAAGTGTGGCTTTTCCGAGGAAGGAGCCACGGGGGAGGGGAAGGGGAGGGGTTTCTCCCTCCTCCACCGCCACCCCGTCTTTCCACGGCGTGGCTTCTCCGAGTGGGGAAAAGAAAAACAGTGCAGAAGGAAAAAAAAAAAAAGTTAGAAAAGTTGGCCAGATTGGGAGAAAGAGGGGAGAAAGAAAGAAAGAAGGAAAAAGAAAAGCGGTTCAGAACGTCCCTCCGCTGCGGGCTCAGCTCCTCAGCATCTGCCCCCCAAGGACCGCGGGCCGGGCCCCCCCAGCGGCACCGGGCACGGCGGCCGCCTCGGCCCTGCTTGCACCGCCCCCGGGCTGCGAGGGGGCTGGGGCTGCGCGGAGCCCTCCGGACTTTCAGGCGCCTTAAGATGTGCGCTGTTGTCTCTGTGTGCTGGATGAAACGATCGGAAACCTCGGAAAAACGGGAGAGCTCGCAAAAAAATTCAGGAGATAAAACGATACGTGCATTGTGTGTAGTGTGTTCATATTGCTGGTGAAAAAGAGCAGGAGAAAAGACAATCTCCACAATTCTGTACAAACCCCACAACTGCCAAAGGCCCAGCTTGCAGTTAGGCAGTGCTTGCACCACTGGAACTCTGATTCATTGATACACTGCAACCAGGTCCGGGTCATAGAATCACAGAATGGTTGGGTCGGAAGGGATCTCAAAGCCCATCCAGTTCCATCCCGTGCCATGAACAGAGCTGCCACTCACCAGCTCAGGCTACCCAGGGCCCCATCCAACCTGGTCTTGAACCTCCAGGGATGGGGCACCACAGCTTCCCTGGGCAGCCTAGTCCCACTGTGGCTGTTCCATGCATGCCAGGTGGATTGCTGTGTTGCAAAAGCCATGCGCAGATGCAGAATGTAGACGTGCTATGGTTGTTTTGCACCAGTCTGGTGATGCAAAGCAGCTGTAACTCTGGGTTATGCAGCTGACTGCAAGAGTTTTACAGCTGCTTTGCATTGCTGGGGATCATGAAGCAGTCTGAAGCACACTGAATCCAACCTGCAGCCTTGCCAGAAGTTCCACTAAGTATTGAGACATCAGTCCTTGTTTTTCCTTTCAACCAAGCATGAAGATGCTGCTGACCACAGAAGAATTTCTGAGCTTCCAGAAGAGCCGGCGCAAAGCGGTAATTCTTTTTCAGGGAGGACCTGCCCGCTGGAGCCCTAAATCACAGCAGAGTCAAAATGCTCATCCGTTCCATTTTTGGTTTACAAGGAGGCTTGTCACACTTTTCTTTGTATTTTTGGATGGCGGCTTCAAAAATATCCTGTGGTTTGCTTAACAGTTGCCTAGTAGGGAGCCAGTTTCCCTCTGTGTGTATTTATAGCATTTATTGGGTGACTTCATAGGCACTACCAGCCACCTTGCCTTAACAGTAAGCGAACTGCTCTAATTCTTCCTTTTATTCTTTCTCTTTGCCTTTGCTTTAGAAAGTAACAACATACCCGTGGGTCTTGCCCTTTCCTCCCTCATCCACTTGGAACAGTGACCTTGCAGTGGTTACAGCCGCAGTGTGTTGCAGCAATCCTCTCCAGCAATAAAAGCTGGTGAGACGTGGCGCCGGGGCACCACTGACCACAGTTTTCCAAAGCTCAGATTTGACTCGCAAGAACAGGGATGCTGAAGTAGCTTCGTGTCTGCTGACCCAAAGGAGGTAGCAAATGAGGATAGTTTTTTGGGAAAGTGACAGCATGCATTGCCCTGCAGGAAGGGAACAGTAAGGTGGTGAGAAAATGGACCAAGGTGGGGAGAATGAAGCACTGAAGATCTGGAGAAGAGAGGAAGAGAGGTGCAGAAAAGCAACATGAGAAGAACATAGAGGGCAGGGGGTGTGTTGGGGTGGGAAGGTGGTGGTTGGAGAGGTCCCAGGTGGCTGGAGACTTGACAGCATGACTCTCATCTAGAAGAAGGGTTGTAAGGAAGATCTGGAGAACTGCAGACCTGTCAACCTAACCTCAGTGCCAAGGAAGGTTATGGAGCAGTTAGATCTTGTGTGCGACGACACAGCAGGTGCAGGACAACTGGGGTCAGGCCTAGCCAGCACAAGTTCATGAAAAGCAGGTCCTGCCTGACCAACCTTATCTCTTTCTACGATTGGGAGACTGAGGGAAAGGCTGTTGATGTAGTCTATCTAGGCTTCATCATAGCCTTTGACACTGTCACTCGCAGCATTCTCCAGGGGAAGCTGCAGCCCATGGCCTGGGCTGGTACACTGTGCTGGTTAAAGTACTGGCTGAATGGCTGGGCCCAGAGATCAGTAGTGAATGAAATTAAATCCAGCTGGCGACTGTTCATAAGTGCTGTTCCCTAGGGATAAGACTTGGGAACCATCCTGTTTAATATCTTTATTGATGACCTGGATGAGGGAATTGAGTTCACCCTCAGTGAGTTTGTAGATGACACCAAGTTGGGGGGAAGTGTTGACCTGCCTGGAGGTAGGAAGGTCCTATGGAGGAACATGGAAAGGCTGGATCACTGGGCTGAGGACAGTGGGATGAATTTCAATAGGACCAAGTACTGGGTCCTGCACCTTGGTCACAACAACCCCAGGCAATGCTACAGGCTTGGGGCAGAGTGGCTGGAAGACTGTGTAGAGGAAATGGACCTGGAGATATTAGTTGATGCTTGGCTGAACATGAGCCAGCAGTGTGCCCAGGTGACCAAAAAGGCCAATGGCATCCTGGCTTGTATCAGAAATAGTGCAGCCAGCAGGAGCAGGGAAGTGATTGTCCCTCTGTACTCGGCACTGGTGAGATTGCAACTCAAGTGCTGTGATCAGTTCTGAGCCCTTCACTATAAGAAAGACATAGAGGCCCTGGAGTGTGTCTAGGGAAGGGCAACAGAGCAGTGAGGGGTCTGGAGCACAAGTCTGATGGGGAGCAGCTGAGGGAACTGAGGTTTTTCAGTCTAAAGAAGAGGGGACTTAGGGGAGACCTTATCGCTCTCTACAGTGACCTGAAAGGAGGTGGTATCAAAGGGGAGGTCAGTCTCTTCTCCAAGGTAACAATGATAGCACAAGAGGGAATGACATCAAGGGGAGGTTCAAGTTGGGAGGCTCAAGTTGGTTTTAGGAAAAATTTATTCTCTGAGAGAGTGGCAACGAATTGGAACACGCTACCCATGGAGGTGGTGGAGTCACTATCCCTGAAGGTGTTCAAGGGTAGATGTAGTACTTAGGGACCTGGTTTAGCAGGCAATATTGGTGGCTGGATGACCAGTTAGACCAGATGATCTTAGAGGTCTTTCCCAGCCTGTATGGTTCTATGATGCTAAGTGTTAGTGCTGCTTTGCCCTTCTGCCAGCAATCCTGTGCGTGGAAGCTCAGATGCGACTGAAGCATGGTCTCTGGATCATTACAGACTATTTAGAGGCTCAGTGCTTTACTGGGCCTCCAGGCAGACCCAAAGCTGCTGTCCTCCAAAGTGTGCAGACTGGGTTTGCAGGTGGAACATGGGTGGAAGATCAACTATTCTGCACATAGCCTACCCCGGTGGTGATTGATCAGAGCAGCCCAGAGCCTGCATGTGAAGTTCCTGCCAACTGGAAGAACGGCAATGGAGAGAAGCAAGGATGTGGCAGGCAAGGACCCCACAGCATAAGCGACAACACAGTGCACAAGATGTACAGAGAGGAGGATAAAGGATGCTTGGGGCATAGGTAGGCAATCGTTGCCATGACCTCCTGATGTGCTGTGTATCCAGCCTGCAGGCAGAGCACAAAATGTACAGCCTTTTACTGCAAATACCTTTCTCTCTTCACCTTTTAGGTGGTCCTTACTAAAGGCCTCCTTTTGGTGG